TATATCAAAGCACCATTGAAACGATGTCAGTCTACTCTGTCTATATAGTGACAAGCTCGCTGCTACACTGAGCAGCTACCTTACAAAGAACATTGTGTGGTTTACCAATTTCGTTACCACATTCTTATTACCTCCTCTCCCTCCTCTCCCTCCAAATAGAATATCAGTTAAACATCATATGATCAAAAGTTCTATGACCACAGATTTATTTTCAAAATTAGTTATCTGAATATTCATTTCTCAAAATAACTGGAAATCAGAATCAGAGTCATGATCATTTTGTTTGTTTTTTGTACTTGTTTGTTTTTGTTTTTTATATTTTTTGTTTTGCTTGTTTTTTTTTAAATAGTAATAGATAGGCTTTCCTATCACCTAGTCCATACTCCTCCCCCTTTTCTCTTGAATAGGAGTAGAAACTCATACCTTGTTTCCTGTTGAGGAAGGAGTTCTCAATTTCTTTCCTTTTCTCAGGCCTTAAAATGGTGCTATCATGTATTTTTTGTGATATGTGAGGATGGTGGCAACATCTCTTCATACTGAGAGCACTGGGTTGATAGTTTTCTGGTTACTTTTCCTGATTGGTAGTTAGGAGCCTAAACTCTTGCATAGCATCTTGAGAGGCTGCTCTGATCAACAGTTGCATAATATTGGAGTTCTTCCAGTGCCATGTCATGCATGGAAGGGTGCCCTGTAAGCGCCTCTGTTGGGCAACCCTGATGCCACACTATGTTGAAGTCTTTGCCAGTTCCCTTCCTGCACATTTTATATTAGACAACTACCCAAGGCCTTTTCTTACCAAAATAACCCACCATAACAATAAGATACCAAAGATATAAATCTAAAACAGCTTAACAAAAATCCCCTAAACCCCTCCACCTTTCTTTTTCTAACATTCAAGGTAGTCATACCAATTTCTGCAGTGTAAAATCATTCCTCTTCAAAAGGTCTCTGTACATCCTAGATCTCTGTGAAACTAATCTTAACTCTTCAATTTCCTCCTCTGATATCGATTCCTGTCTATTTTCCTCTCATTAGAAAGGAATCTCATGTCCACATGCATGACCTGGGAGTTTATGCTTGTGAATATCTCCCACTGACTAAAAAAATCTCTCTTGAATCTCCACACCACCCTTACATGTGTCTCCATCTCTCTCTACTTAGTTATTTCTATTGTTCCCCTTCCACTTATGACCATTGCATGCTAGATGGTATTTCTGATAATATAGACAAGGCCATCTCTCTATACCCATCTGCAAATATATTTGTGTTTGGTGCTTTAATGCCCACCATACCAGGTGGCTTAAACACTCAGTCACTGACCCTGCTGGAATCTAGACTTTTAATTTCTCAATTGCTCAATCTCACACACAAGTGATGGACTTCCTCATGCATTTCCCCAGTAACCCTGAGAGACACGCTCCTCTTTTAGACCTCCTTTTTAACTCTATTCTGGACTCATGCTGTACTTTGCAGCTCTGCCCTCTTGACAACTCTGATCCTGTGGTAGTATCTGTAAACATCTCTTTCCACTCTCCTACCAGACAAGAACATCCTACCAACAGAATATCTTTCTGTTATCAACATGTGGATTAGGACTCATTTTGTGACTTCCTTCATGATGTCTCCTGGAATGCAGTTTTTAATCATCATAAATACACATCTGAGGTCTCCTCCTGGGTGAAAGCTGGCATCGAGGCTTTCATCCCAGCAAAGAAATATTAAGTTAAACCGCATTCATCTCCTTGGCTCTGACCTTCATGTGTGGCCTTTATAGCCCACAGGAATAGACACTTCTTCAAGCTGTACTAGAGTGACATGTCGGATTACAACAGACGTCTCTTTGTCTCTGCTATTAAAGAGTGCAAGCATGTCCTCAAAGAAGTGAAGTTACTATTTGCTGATAAAATGAAACAATCTATAACATCTCACAAGTTCGGTACTAGAGATTATTGGTGGCTGAACAACAACAAATCCTCAATCCCTCCTCTATTCAATCAATTCAAAGTTCTGACATCTACAGCAGATAAGGTTGAATGCTTTGCTTGGAAATTCTCTTCCAACTCAACACTTGACTCAATTCTTGTCTTCTTGTCTTGCAACGGCATTCACCCAGTGTCAAGGCCATCCACCCCCGTCGATTGGCAGCAGAATCGACGGCAGGATTGAGCCATTTGCGATTCCAGCGTTGGACTCAACTCAACTCAACTGGCATACCCACACCTGATTTCCCTCCAAGAATAGAGGTTCTACTGAGTAATATATGCATAACCCCATCACAGGTCTCAGATATTATTTCTAAATTAGACTCATATAAAGCAAGCAGAGGTGATGAGATCCCAGACATCACCCTAAAGAAATATGCTCTCAAGCTGGTTCCAGTTCTCTCCAAACCCTACAACTATTGCCTCACTACTTCCTGCTTCCCAGATGGTTAGAAGTCCTCCTCTGTAGTTCCTGTTTTTAAGAAACCTGGAGAACCTTCTGACCCCTCTAACTATCACCCTATTAGTCTCCTACCAAGTATTCAAAGCTTTAATCAATACTGACGTGGTTAAACATCTTACCTCCCATGACCTACTTTCTGACAAAAAATATGGCTTCCATTTTGCCAGATTTACTGCTGATGCACTAATGGCCACTACTGAATATGTATATCAAGTTTTTGATAATAACAGTGAATCTCAAACTGTGGCTCTAGATATCTCAAAGGTGTTTGACAGGGCTTTGCATGCTGGTCTTCTATGTAATCTCCAGGGCTACAATATTACAGGACATGTTTTTAATTTAGTCCAATCATTCCTATCAAATTGTGAAATGTAGGTTGTTTTGAATGGGCTTGCTTCCAGATCCTTTCACATGAACACAGGTGTCCCTCAAGGCTCTATCTTGGGCCCTATGCTATTTCTGATCTTCATCAATGATCTCCCTGATGTCATCAGTTCCTAAGTAGGCTCACATTTAACCACCATAGAGAAACTTTCCTGCCCACCATCAGAAAATACAATATAATCTGCATAATATATATTGTTAATGTTATGTCAAACTAATAATCAATTCTAGTAGGTCTTGTAATCCTCTTAAAAATATCTCAAAAATCATCTTTGTTACTGTTCTTTTTTCTTTTTGCATAATTATTTGATTATCTTTTCCATGTAGATCAAGCTCTCCTAATATTTCAAAAAGTTCTTCTTAGACATTAACAGCATTATGATCATGAATATTGCATTTCTTTTAATATTGTCTTAAACAATGCCACTTTGCTCTTGCCCTCTGTCCAGTTTAATAATGCTATAAGCTTTATTCATTAGAATCCTAATTATTAATTTCATTATTTGTCTCATCAAGCTATTTACTCAAGGAACTTTATATTTATTCACCTCAAGATTTTTTTGTATTTCTAATGTACTTGGTAGTTTGCTACTGCTGTAAACATACAACTTGGGCATTCATACAATTTTTCTCTAACTGAATAAATCTCCTCATATTGTGTATCAATTCTCATTTGCATTGGTGTAAACAAAAACTGGGGAAGATCCAGTGTCTATTCTCCAAAGGATGGAAGGTGAAAATATTGCTAATGAAAACATATATTTCCATATATTGGATTATTTCTTTGTGGATTCACATGGCACAGTCTTTTAGGAGTAGGAAGGTGACTTTTATTACAACTTTGCTCAATTTTAACATCAACTGTCATAAAAACAGCTGGTACTTAAGTCCCAGATAAAATAATTTAGAGCCCATTTCACTTTGTAGTTATCCTAAGCAATCTAGCCATGGACCCATTATGTCACACTAATATATTATATCACCTTGGCAGCTTTATCAATAATAACTACCTTAATGGGCTTGTATGGATGGATAGCAGAACAAGGACAAATAAAAATGGTAAAGTGTCAAAGATTACTGACAAAAATAACCAAGATATGAAGAGACATAAATGCCCACATCCTGAAAAAGACATGGTACATAAAAGAAAACCTTACCAATCCTAAAATTGTCTAATGTGGTTAGCATTTCTATGACAATCTTGTTTTTTCTTTATTTTTCTTCATCTAGGTCAGAGCTGTCCTAACCTCAGATTTTAGTGTCATGAGTCCCTCCATGGTGTAGGTTTCCATGGAAGTGTTCTGTAATGTATTCGTCCCATTTCTGAAGAACATTCTTTTCCATTATGATTGTTCCCTCTTTACATGGAATGTATCCTGCTAAAGAACAGGTTTTCTTTCCTGCTAGTTCTTTTATCTTTTTGTGCTTGCTTGCTCCATTTGTGCTCTATAGTTTTTTAATCTCTGCACATTTCCTATTAGGTCATTCATCTTTTGCTTGCTTGCATTTATTTCTGACATTTGTGTTTAATATATATTCTGCACCATTTTTTGACATTATCTACTGTCTCCTTTTCAATTGATTGAAAATTTCACCTGTCATCCATTTCTTTTGTTTTTGTCTTTCTTTCTTCATTATGACATGACATGCTGTTGTCACCAGTGTTTCATTTAAGGGTTCTCTTTCAAATATCTGACATCTTCGAAAGCATCATATTTTTCCTTAATTTCAACTGCATATCTTTGTTTGTAAATAGAGTCAGTATGAATTTTTCATATTGCATTTTAGGCATTACTTTGGGATTCTTTAATTTTGATAATTTTACTCATAATTTGCATATAAATGAGAAGTGTTTATTCTTGCAATGATTTGGAATGTTTTTGAATGCAAAACTGTTTTCAAATCATTTGTTGATGGTTAAGTAGCCTATTTGGTTTTTGATGTTTCCTTCTGGACTTTTCTGTGTCCATAATTCTCTTGAGTATTTTTCAAATTAAGTGTTGTTTATTATTTGGCCATTCATTGTGCATCATTAAAGCCATTTTTTCTCTGTGCTTCTTATGCAGTATAAGGCCATACCAACCAATCATTTCACAATGTTTCCTTCTTACTTTTGCATTTAGGTCCCTCATGGGAATTAAAATATTAACTCTTTGCCAGAACAAACTTTTATGCATTCTTTCATTTTGGAACAATGTTTTTTTTTGTATGCTTGCTTTTTTAAAAAATTTAGACTTTCTATCTATCTGTCTCAATTTATCTATCTAGCTCAGTCTGTTCTCATCTATCTATCTAAATCTGTTCTCATCTATCTATCTATCTATCTATCTATCTATCTATCTATCTATCTATCTCAACCTGTTCATATCTATCTTTTTTATACTTATTTTAATCAATTCACCACAAGTAAGGGCATAATATCACTAAAATGCAAGGAGTTATTGAGAGTGAAAGAGAATGAGAAGACTTTAGAAGAAACTGGAAAACCCAATCCTAAACAGGAAACAAGGTATAAACTTCTTCTCCTGTTTAAAAGACCAGGGTGGAAGGAGTGTGAACTGGGCAATAAGCAAACTTATCTACTCCTATTGACAAACCTATCTACTCTTATTAATCTATCTATTTATTTATCTATCAATCTATTTAGCCTGTTCTCATCTACCTATATATATATATGTGTGTGTGTGTGTGTGTGTATGTATATTTCATTCTTTTCATATCTATCTCAGTGTGTTCATATCTATCTATGTATCTATTTTTCTATTTCATTCTTTTCATATTTATCTTTGTCTGTTCATATCTATTGCAGTCTGTTAATATCTATGTCATTCTTTTCATATCTATGTCTGTCTACTTATATCTATTGCAGTCTGTTAATATCTATGTCATTCTTTTCATATCTATGTCTGTCTACTTATATCTATTGCAGTCTGTTCATATCTAAGCCTGTTCTTATCTATTTCATTCTTTTCAGATCTATGTCTGTCTATTTATATCTACTGCAATCTGTTCATATCTATCTATCTACCTACCTACCTACCTATCTCATTCTGTTCTGCACAATTCTGGATTGAGTTTCTCAATTTTTTTCACGCCATTTTACTTTTGTCTCCATCTGAAAAAAATTAATATTTTTTCTTATTTCCTCTGTTCTCTCTTTTTTCATCATTTTCTCTTCAAGCAATTGATGCCTGACAATTTGTTCACAGCTTTTCATTTTCATCAATTCATTCTTCAATTCTGTCTTCAAGTTAAAATTTATTTCTTCCGATATTTTCCTCTTGCATATTATCATTTTTTAGAACTATTTTCATCTCTTGATCTATTTATCAATCTACTGATCAATCTATCTATCAATCTATATATTTTGTTAAAACTGCTTTATTTATAGTGGAAGAATTTGTTGGATGTGATTCACAACAGTAAATACCAGAAGGTCTGAATAGAATTTCTTATCAATAAGTAACCTTTGTTCTAAGAGAAGTTGATCTGGGATGGTCCCCAATGCTTTTACACAGATTTTTTTAAATAAATACATAAACATATATACAGCTTATAAAGGATCACAAAATGTTTAGGGCAAGCTTTCATAATCTGATAGATTTTATCCATAAACCTAGAATACTGTTTCATAAGAACACTTTGTCCTAAAGGCAAAAGGGATACAAGTTCAAATCTCACCAAAAGCTTATCTTTATCTTCGTCTATGTGTTGCCGCAGAATTGACAGCTTAAAAAAAATTATGATAAAGAAGAAACTAAAAATCAAGATGAAAGTAAATAAACGTAAAAAGAGAGTGTTTTGCGTGTAGAATTTGCCATATTGCTTAAAAATAAAGTCCTAATGACAAATGAAATTTTACTTATTGTTGAAAAGCTCCATCGAGTATTTTAACAATGTAAATTAAAAGTTTATGCAAATTATTAACATTGTTCCTTAACTTTTGTCCAGTAGCTTATTTCCTTTGTTCCATTTAATCTTTATTTAAAAAAAAACTATTATGTAAATTTTTGTAACTTTGTATAATATTTATGCATTACACCCTAATCTTTATTCGGTAAAAATTTCATTGCTAATCATGCATTACTTTTTAAGTAATACACATATTTATGTCTTTGTTGTTTCTGTTCCTTATATTATGGCTGCTACTGTATGTATATATATATATATATATATATATATATATATATATATATATATATATACAACAGCATTACCCGCATTGCCTGGGTTTATTCAAAAAAGATCACGAACCTCATCCAATCTGTAAAGTTAAAATAAAGATTTTTCTTTAGTGCCTTTTATCTATAGGGCGAAAAATTATAATGACATGAAGTGTGAAAACATTTATAACAGGAGAAATTTGTTTTTTTACAAAAGCACAGAAGATACAAAAACATTTGTCAGCAAATGAAGAGTACATTAATCGCAATCAATCTTCGAAAATTGTTGAGGAGAAATGCTTTGTTGACAGGTTTTTCCTCAAACTACATCGAATGAACAACATGCATTGAAAGAAGAAGAAATTGAACAAAGACTTCTCCTAGCAGCCGTGCCAAGGCTGAAAACCAGCGTTCACAAAGACTGTATAGAATTGTTCTTTGCCCCTCAGTTTCAACAGCTCAAGTAGCACAGTTCTGGCAGCGTTCATTCCTTGTCTAGTTAACCATTGTTCATTAGTTTCTGCTGACCTTGCATTAACTGTACAAATAACATTTTGTGTCAGTCTAATGTCTAGTTTCTTGTTGCGAAGCGTTTCTTCTCCGTGCTTTCATGCGTTTGGCTATAGTAGTACCTACGTGCACTTCTCTCATCGATACACACTTTCATTTGCACTTATTCTTTTTTTCTTAAGGAAGGATATAATTTTTGCTGTCAAGTTAATGCAAACTAAACTATTTCAGTACCAAAACGGGAAATCCATGGGAAAAACTGATATTTATCATAATGTATTTATGACACATGGGGTGTCAGTTTTCATTTTGAGTTGATTGATCTAAACACAAATTATGTGCAAATTTTCATCGGAATGCTGCTAACCACTACAATTGAAAGACTAATGGGGCAACAAGGTGTTCATGGGTCATCTTGAGGGCCCCTTATGTAGTTTTCAAAATCTGATAATTGTTTTTGATTCATTTTAAGATTGTAACATACATGTAAAATTTCGTTGAAATCGAAGCAATTTGAAAATTTTGGGGTCCCTTTGGTTCACCCTAGGGGTCCCAAATTTCAAGCCAAAGGACTGGTTTAAGACTAATAGTAATTGAAATAATAAAGCACATCTTTTTTAAGTTTTCTATTTAATCAACTTTATGGCCAAGGCTGTAGACTTAATTGAAAATTTCGGGGTTCCCTGCTGGTCCCCTAACTCGTGGGGGTCCCAGTGTTGATTTTCAGTGAATTCCAAGTGACTACTTCAGTTACTCAATATAATATCAATATGTACTGAAATTTTCATTGAAATTGGGGAATACTGCTACAAAATACACTTGAAAAGCAATTGAGGCATCAAGGGGTTTATAGGGTCATCCTGGGGGCCCCATCATGCATTTTTAAAAATCTGACAACCGATTTCTATCTCATTGTAAGAGCGTAACAAACATGCAAAATTTCATGAAAATCAAAGCAATTTGAATTTTTTGGTGTCCCTTTGGGGCACCCTGGAGGTCCCAGTATCGAGAGAAACGAAAATCAATATAGGGTATAATAAGCGTGACAGTAAGTTGCATACACTTATCAAGTTTCATTAAAATTGGTCTTAGGGTTTAGACTTCAAGTCTGAAAGTTTAAAAACAACCAAATTAATGGAAATTCCCATTTAAACATTATATTTATTGATTATCGATTATTGATTTTTGAAAAATGACTAATTTTTTTTGCCCAGACACACCCAGTAGTGAGTACAATCTATGTTCCAAATTTGAAAATATGCTTTATGGTTCTCAAGTAGTTCGCGAATGAACGAACGAACACACGCACGCACACACACAGTTTTATATATATATATATATATAGAAGATAGATATATTTTAAATGGATTTTTTAATCCATAATTATTTCTTATTACTATGTTATTTTTTCGTGGGTACTTAGTTACTACCCCACTTTTTTATTTTCTTAAACAGTGAAATTAAAAACAGGGAAAACAACTCGAACATGTGTGCCTACTAAAAATAATGTTTATAGTAATAAAATATATATAATAATAAATATATATATAATAGCAAAATTGTCTAAATCATGTAACAGTAAAATTGTCCAATTGTTAGATTAAGCTCTGAACGGTTGTATCTTAGAAATGAGTAAAGATATCTCAGTGGAATTCTCCAAGGTTTTTATAACACTATTGGACTGTACTTTGAGCAATAAGAATGTATAATTACTCTCCAAACAGGAAAATTGTGATTAAATGAAAATTACATGTTTATCATAGCTAAGGATTGAAAGCTCATGAAGGATTGAAATAAAGTTCAAATATATATATATATATATATATATATATATATATATATATATATATATATATATATATATATAAAAGTGTGTGTATATATATATTATTCTAGGATCATTTTCTAACTTCTTCAAGACCTTCACTCTCTCTAACCTTCTAACTCTCAGTCCTGGAGTAACAAGGTGCCACACAGATTACACATACGATTTAATTTTTAAGTCTTTTTTCACTGCTCTTTGGACTGTCATAGCTGAAACTTCTCTCTTACATGCCAAACGTCTTATGGATTAAGTTGGACCTTTTCTAATTGATCTTTTTAGCTCTAATTTGAAAGGATGATGCCTCTTCCTGTTGTGACCTCCTGATCCAGTTAGCCTGACGTGCCTTTACATTTGATACGCCATGAATAGATATGAATATACATGAGAGATTCATGGAAGATTAAAGTTTAAAGACAGTAAAATCGACCTTGCTAACTGAACGCTCCTCTGTGACTGAAACGGTTAAAGGCATGTCAGGCGATATGACGGTTCTGCATAGGATACAGGTTTGATTCCTGTTGGAGGATAAAAATTTTCTATGAAAATTTCTTGGACATTCAGGCCAGTAAATGTTGTTTAATGCTGTTTATTATAAAACAGAGCATTTACTTAAATATTTGTATCTATAAAAAGAATGTATAAACATAAAAATGTCTTAAAATATATATACATATATATATATATATATATATATATATATATATATATATATATGGACCATTACAAGCATCTCATCCCATCCTGGAATCTATGATACAGGGCCTCCCACTCTACTACAACTCAATTTTCATAAGGTAGTATTCATATAAAATACAAATTTTATTGAAACTAATTATGTACAATAATGGATCACATGCAATAT